AAAATGGCCCCAAAATTGTCCCCAAAAATGGCCCCAAAATGGCCCCAAAAGTGACCCCAAAGTGGCCCAGTTTGACCCCAGTTTGGTCCCGGTGATGACGTCATCGGGGACCTGGTGACATCATCAAGGACCGATGACATCATCAAGGACAAAAAAAAATTGAATTTTTTTTTTAATTTTGGGGTTTTTTTTAAACCCCCCCCCAAAAAAGGGGCCGATTTTTAATCGATTGTAATTAATTAAGTAATTAAATGTAATTTAATTTATATTAATTAAGTTTATTTTAATTGAGGAAAGGGTGGGGGAGGGGCCCGGAAATGGGAGGGGAGGGGCTGAAAAATTGGGGAGGGGTCAAAAGTGGGGAGAGGTCAAAGGAGGGGAGGGTCAAGGGGAGGAACCAAAGGAGGGGAGGGCCAAAAGTAGGGGAGGAGCTTGGGGACAGAGACACCTGGTGACGTCACAGGGGACGGCGGTGGCGTCATCAGGGAACCAAAGAGGACGGAAAAAACACCCAAAAAACACAAAAAAACCCCCAAAAAGCCCCAAACAACAAAAAAACCACAAAAAACCAACAAAAAGAAAAAACAAAAAGGCCATCAGAAAAACAAGAACAAAAACCAGACCTCCCCGAAAGAATAGCAGAACAAAAGACCCAAAAGACCAAAGGCCCACAGAGAACCCCAGAGAAGAACAGACAAGCCCCCCAAGACCCAGAAATGAGAACAAAGACCAAAAGGCCACCAGGGGCCCAAGGACAAGAGCCCCAGAGACCAGACCCAAGACCAGAATGAGATGGATAGAGGGCCGAAGGACCAGAGGACTGAGGGCCATCAGAAGGATAGCATATTCAGGGCCAAGAGATAGAGGATTAGAAGGACATCAGAAGATCACAAGGGCCCGAGAGATGAGAGACCAGAGAATGAGGATAGGATGCCACAGAGACCCCGAAGACCCCAGAGACCAGACAGAAGACTGAACAAGACCCCAGAGGCCCAGAGATCCAGAAAGACCTCTTCTAGAGGACCAAAGAGACCCAGGACTGCAGAGACCCAGAGATACAGGAGAGATCGGCCATGACAAGGAGACAAAGACAAGGCCGAAAGGCCCTCAGAAAGCCAAAGGCACTAGCCCCAAGAAAGGCCAAAAGGCCCCAAGGCCCCAGAAAACAAGACTAAGACCCCAGAATGTAGAAACCCCCAAAACAACAGAACCACCAGAAGACCAAAGAGGATTAGAGCTAGGGTTGTTTTATTTTATTTTTTAACCCCAAAAAAGGAAAAAAAAAAAAAAAGAGGACCCACCCATTTCTCCCTCGGGATAAACTCATTAACATGCCAGGCCACGCCCCCTCCCGTGACGTCACAAAAAGAGGGCGTGGCCACAGATATCAAAATCCTTTTATTGTGGGCGGGGCTAAGGGAGGTTAAAAAGGAGGGGTGGGCGGGGCTAAGGGGAGGGGGCGTGGTCTGATGAAGGTGGGCGTGGTCTGATGGAGGTGGGTGTGGCCTGGCAGAGGTGGGCGTGGCCTGGCGGGGGTGGGCGTGGCTAATCCGAGTCGGAGAGGACGATGATCTCCTCGGGGTCGCACTGGGTGCCCACGCTGGTCTGGGAATGGGGGGGGACACAAAAAAGGGGGGTCAAGGGGGGGTCAGAGAACCCCAAAATTAATCAAAAATCCCCCCCCAATCCATCTGAAAAGTTTCTTGAAAGTTCACCCTGAAAATCTCGAAAATTCACCCTGAAAATCTTGAAAATTCACCCTGAAAAATCTCAAAAATTCAACCAAAAAACTCAAAAATCCTGCTCAAAATCCTCTCAAAAATCTACCTCAAAATCCTCTCAGAAGTCCACCCCAAATTCTCAAAAATCTACCCTGAAATCACCACAAAAATCTGCGCTGAAATCTCTAAAAATCCACCCCAAAATCTCAAAAATCCACCCTGAAATCACCTCAAAAATCCACCCTGAAATCTCAAAAATCCACCCCAAATTCTCAAAAATCCACCTCAACATCTCAAAAAAATTCACCGCAAAATCCACCCCAAAATCTCAAAAATCCACCCCAAAATCTAAAAAATTCACCCTGAAATCTCAAAAAATTCACTCCAAAATCCACCCCGAAATCTCAAAAATCCACCCCAAAATTATCTCAAAAATTCACCCCGAAATCTCAAAAAAATTCACCTCAAAATGCACCCCAAATTCCTAAAAATCCACCCCAAAAATTCACCCAAAGAACTCAAAAATGCACCCCAAAATCATCTCGAAAATCCACCCCAAAATCTAAAAAATTCACCGTGAAAATCTTGAAAATTCACCCTCAAAATCTTGAAAATTCACCCTGAAAATCTTGAAAGTTCACCCCCAAAATCTTGAAAATTCACCCTGAAAATCTTGAAAGTTCACCCCAAAATCTTGAAAATCCACCCTGAAATCATCTCAAAAATCCACCCTGAAATCTCGAAAATTCACCCCAAAAATCTTGAAAATTCACCCTGAAAATCTTGAAAGTTCACCCTGAAAATCTTGAAAATTCACCCCCAAAATCTTGAAAATTCACCCCCAAAAATTTTGAAAATTCACCCCAAAAATCTCAAAAATCCACCCTGAAATCTCAAAAATCCACCCTAAAATCATCTCAAAAATCCACCTCAAAAATCCCAAAAATCCCCCTCAAATCCTCCCCCAACCCCCCCAAATCCCCCAACCCCCAATTCCCCTCAAATCCCCCAATTTTTCCAACCCCCAAATCCCCCTCAAATCCCCAAATCCCCCAAATTTTTCCAACCCCCAAATTTTCAGACCCCCAAATCTCTCACCTTGCAGGATTTTTGGGGGGCCCTAGAGGAGCTCCTGGGAGCTGCTCACCAGGTTCAACCCCAGGACCCCCAAATCCCCCAAATCCCCCAAACCCCTCAAATCCCCCAATTTTTCCAACCCCCAAATCCCCCAAATCTCCCCCAAATCCCCCTCAAATCCCCCAAACCCTCCCAATCCCCCAAATCCCCAAACCCCCAAATCCCCCTCAAATCCCTCAAATCCCCCAATTTTCCAACCCCCTAAATCCCCCAAATTTTCCAGACCCCCAAATCTCTCACCTTGCAGGTTTTTGGGGGGCCCTGAGAGAGCTCCTGGGAGCTGCTCACCAGGTCCCGAGGAGATCGGCCCGGGTGGAGTCGAGGGAGGGGCTGGGCCGAGGGTGGGGGAGAGGCGAGCAGGAAAGGGGGGAGGAGGAGAACCCCAAAATCCGAGGCCCAACTTCGTCCTCTTGGAGGAAGGGTCAGGCTGAGGGGGGAGAGAAGAGAAAAATGGGGGGTTAGGAGGTTTAAGACCCAAATTGTTGAGCAACCCCCCCAAAAAAGTCCCAAATTCACCCCAAATTCAGCACAAAAATCCACCCAAATCCAGCCCAAAAATCTCCAAAATATCCCCCAAAAAACCATTAAATGCAGCCCAAATCCACCCCAAAAATCCACCCCAAATCCCAAATCCACCCCAAAATCACCCCAACCCCTCAAATCTCCCCAAATCCCCAAAATCCCAAATCCTCTCCAGAGATCCCAAAAACCCATAAAATCCAGCTTAAATCACCCCAAAACACACTCAAATCCCCAAAAATCCCCAAAAAGCCACCTTAAAATCCAGCCCAAATCAACCCCAAAACACACCCCAAATCTCCCCAAAATATCCCAAAAAAACCCCTTAAAATCCACCCCAAAAATCCAATCCAAATCCACCCCAAAAATCCCAAAATATCCTAAAAACAACCTTAAAATCCAGTCCAAAAACCACCCCAAATTCACCCCAAAATATCCAAAAAAACCCCCTTTAAAATCCACCCCAAAAACCACCCCAAATCCACCCCCAAATCTATCCCAAAAATCCAGCCCAAATCCACCCCAAAACACACCCCAAATCCCCCCAAAAATCCCAAAAAAACCCTAAATCAGCAAATCAGCCAATCACTAAAACCACCCCAAATCCCCCCAAAATATCCCAAAAATATCCCAAAAAAACCCCTTAAAATCCAGCCCAAAAACCACCCCAAAAATCCCCCCAAAATATCCAAAAAACCACTTAAAATCCAGCCCAAAGAACACCCCAAAACCCACCCCAAAAATCCCAAAATATCCTAAAAACAACCTTAAAATCCAGTCCAAATCCACCCCAAAAACCACCCCAAAAAATCCCAAAATATCCTCAAATCCCCCAAATCCACCCCAAAATCCTCAAATCCCCAAATCCTCAAATCCCCAAAATTCCTCAAATCCCCTCAAATCACCCAAATCCACCCCAAAATCCCCAAAATCATCCCCAAAATCCTCAAATCCCATCAACCCCCAAAATCCCCCAAACCCAAGCCCCAAAATCCTCTAAGCCCAAATCCCCCAAATGTCCCTCAAAATCCCTCCCAAATCCCTCCCAAATCCCCCAAATCCTCAAATCCCCAAAATCCCCCAAATCCCAAAACCCTCAAAACCCCAGATCTCCACAAATCCATCCCAAATCTCCATCCTCAAATCCCCAAAATCCCCAAGTCCCTCAAGCCACCCAGATCTTAAAGTCCCCAAATCCCCCACAAATCCCCAAATTCACCAACCCCCAAAATCCCCTCAAATCCCCAAATCCTCAAATCCCCAAAATCCTCAAATTCCACCCATATCCCTAAATCCCCAAAATCCCTCAAGTCCCCTCAAATCCCCCAAACCCTCAAATTCCCCCAAAATCCCCAAATCCCCTCCTCCTCCTCACCTCTCCCCAGGCTCCTCCCGGCTCCGTTTCCTGGGGGTCCCGGGTGGGGGGAGGGCAGGTGAGGAGGGCTCAGCCCCTCCCCCTCCCCCTTTCCCCTCCCCCTTTCCCCTCCCCTTCCTCGAGGCCGGTGGAGGAGCTGATGTCGAACCGCCCTCCCCCACCCGCCCCTCCCCCTCCCCAGGTGGGAGGCTCAGAGGTCCCAAAATCCTCCTCTTTTTGATTTGGGGAGGGGGGAGGGGAATCGTTTTTGGGCGTGGCCTCAGGCCCCTCCCCCTCCCGGGGGTGGGAGGGGCTCCGTGGTGGTGGGGGAGGGGAGGAGGTGGGGAGGGTGGGTTCCAAAGGAAGGGCTCGATTTCCAGCACGAAGATTTGGGGAGGATCGGAGAGGGGAGGCAGGAGGGCCCCAGGCCCTCCCCACCTCACGGGGGTGGGGGAGGAGCAGGGGAGGGGCCTCCTGAGAGGTGGCACCTGGGGAAGAAAAAGGGGAGGGGAGGTGAATTCGACCCCAGGACCCCCAAAATTCCCCCAGGACCCCCAAAATCCACCCCAAAATCAACTCAGACCCCCAAATCCACCCCAAAATCCACCCAGGACCCCCAAAATTCCCCCAAATCCCCCAAATTCCCCAAAATCCCACCAGGACCCCCAAAATCCACCCCAAAATCAACTCCAGACCCTCAAAATTCCCCCAGGACCCCCAAAATCCCCCCCAAAATCACCTCCAGACCCCCAAATCCCCCAAATCCACTCAGACCCCCAAAAATTCCCCCAGGACCCCCAAAATCCACCCCAAAATCAACTCCAAGACCCCCAAAATCCCCCACAGGACCCTCAAAATCCCCCAATTCCCCCAAATCTCCCCAGACCCCTCAAATACCCCAAAACCCCCAAATCACCCAACCCAAATCCCCCAAATCCCCCAGACCCCCCAAATCCCCTCAAATCCCCTAAATCCCCCAAACCCCCCAAATCTCACCCCCAAATCCCCCAATCCACCCCCAAATCCCCCAAATTCCCCTCAAAACCCTCTCAAATCCCCCAAATCCCCCCAAATTCCCCCAAATCCCCCAAATCACCCCAAATCCCCCAAACCCCCTCAAATCCCCCAAATTCCCCCAAAACCCCCTCAAATCCCCCAAATCCCTCAGGACCCTCCAAATCCCCCAAATCCCCCAAACCCTACAAACCCCCTCAAATCCCCCAAATCTCCTCAAACCCCCCAAATCCCCCAAAACTCCCTCAAACCCCCAGGACCCCAAATCCCCCAAAACCCCTCAAAGCCCCAGGACCCCCAAAACCCCTCAAATCCCCCAAAACCCCTCAAATCCCCCAAAACCCCCAGGACCTCCCAAAACCCCCTCAAAGCCCCCAAAACCCCCTCAAATCCCCCAAAACCCCCAGGACCCCCAAACCCCTCAAAGCCCCCAAGCCCCTCAAATCCACCCCAAATCCCCCCAACCCTCAAATCCCCCAAACCCCCAAATCCCCCAAATCCCCCAATCCCCCCAAATCCCCACCTGTGGCAGCAGCAGCAGCGGTGGCTTCACTTCCTTCCCCCTCCCCCTCTTCCTCTTCCTCTTCCTCTTCCTCCTCCTCTGCTTCCTCTTCCTCTTCCTCCCCCTCCGTCTCCTCCTCCTCCTTCCCCTTCCCCGGGGACCCTTCGGCCTCAGAGGACTCCCCTTCCTCTTCCTCCTCCTCCTCTTCTTCCTCCTCTTCTTCCTCTTCCTCTTCTTCTTCTTCCTCTTCTTCTTCTTCTTCTTCTTCCTCTTCCTCTTCCTCCTCCTGTTTCTTCCCCTGGGGAGGAAAAATTCTTTTTTTGGGGGGGGGATCTCCCAAAAATCCCCCCCTGGGTCCTTTTTCCTTCCTCTTCCTCCTCCTCTTCCTCTTCTTCCTCCTTTTAAGGGATTTTTTCCCCCTTTTCCTGCCCTTCCTTTTCCTCTTCTTCCTCCTCTTCCTCTTCCCCCTTTTAAGTTTCCCCCCTTTTCCTCCTCCTCTTCTTCCTCTTCCTCTTCATTTTCCTCTTCCTCTTCTTCCTTCTTTTCCTCCTTTTTAAGGGATTTTCTCCCCCTTTTCCTGCCCTTCCTTTTCCTCTTCTTCCTCCTCTTCCTCCTCCTCTTCCTCTTCCCTCTTTTCAGTCCCTTTCTCCCCCCTTTCCCTTCTCTTCCTCTTCCTCTTCCTCTCCTTTTCCTTCTTCTTCTTCCTCTTCTTCCTCCTTTTCCACCTTTTTAAGGGATTTTTTGCCTCCTTTCCCTTCTCTTCTTCCTCCTCCTCTTCCTCTTCCCCCTTTTCAGTCCCTTTCCCCCCCTTTTCCTTCTCCTCTTCTTCCTCTTCCTCTTCTTTTTCCTCCTCTTCCTCCTCCTCTTCCTCTCCCCCCTTTTCAGTCCCTTTCCCCCCTTTTCCTCCTCTTCTTCTTCTTCCTCTTCCTCTCCTTTTTCTTCCTCTTCCTCCTCTTCCTCTTCCCTCTTTTAAGGGATTTTTCCCTTTCCCACTTCCCTTTCCCATTTCCCACTTCCCCATTTCCCATTTCCCATTTCCCTTTCCCATTCCCCACTCCCCATTTCCCACTTCCCTTTCCCATTTCCCATTTCCCTTTCCCACTTCCCTTTCCCATTTCCCACTTCCCTTTCCCATTTCCCATTTCCCTTTCCCATTTCCCTTTCCCATTTCCCTTTCCCATTCCCCATTTCCCTTTCCCTTTCCATTTCACTTCCTTTCCCATTTCCCACTTCCCTTTCCCATTTCCCATTTCCCATTCCCCATTCCCCATTTCCCTTTCCCACTTCCCTTTCCCATTTCCCATTTCCCACTTCCCTTTCCCATTTCCCATTCCTTTCCATTTCCCATTTCCCATTTCCCATTCCCATTCCTTTCCACTTCCCATTTCCCATTTCCATTTCCCACTTCCCTTTCCCATTTCCCATTTCCCACTTCCACTCCCATTTCCCATTCCCATTCCCCATTTCCCATTCCCCATTCCCCTCACCCTGCCCCTCCTGGCCCCCTCCTGCTCCTTTCCCGGCGCTCCTGGCGGTGACAGAAGTGCTGGATCACCCGGTCCAGGCTCTGCAGGGCCACTTCCCTTTCCCATTTCCCACTTCCCTTTCCCATTTCCCACTTCCCTTTCCCATTTCCCATTTCCCACTTCCCTTTCCCATTTCCCACTTCTCTTTCCCATTTCCCACTTCCCTTTCCCATTTCCACTTCCCTTTCCCATTTCCCATTTCCCACTTCCCTTTCCCATTTCCACTTCTCTTCCCATTTCCCACTTCCCTTTCCCATTTCCCATTATTTCCCATTTCCCACTTCCCTTTCCCATTTCCCATTTCCCACTTCCCTTTCCCATTTCCCATTTCCCATTTCCCTTTCCCATTTCCCATTTCCCACTTCCCTTTCCCATTTCCCATTTCCCATTTCCCATTTCCCATTTCCCATTCCCCTCACCCTGCCCCTCCTGGCCCCCTCCCTGCTCCTTTCCCGGCGCTCCTGGCGGTGACAGAAGTGCTGGATCACCCGGTCCAGGCTCTCCAGGGCCACTTCCCTTTCCCATTTCCCACTTCCATTTCCCATTTCCCATTTCCCATTTCCCATTTCCCACTTCCCTTTCCCATTTCCCATTTCCCATTTCCCATTTCCCATTTCCCATTTCCCACTTCCCTTTCCCATTTCCCACTTCCCTTTCCCATTTCCCACTTCCCTTTCCCATTCCCCATTTCCCATTTCCCATTATTTCCCATTTCCCATTCCCCATTCCCCTCACCCTGCCCCTCCTGGCCCCCTCCCTGCTCCTTTCCCGGCGCTCCTGGCGGTGACAGAAGTGCTGGATCACCCGGTCCAGGCTCTGCAGGGCCACTTCCCTTTCCCATTTCCCATTTCCCATTTCCCACTTCCATTTCCCATTTCCCATTCCCCATTTCCCATTTCCCATTCCCCATTCCCCTCACCCTGCCCCTCCTGGCCCCCTCCCTGCTCCTTTCCCGGCGCTCCTGGCGGTGACAGAAGTGCTGGATCACCCGGTCCAGGCTCTCCAGGGCCACGCGCCGGTTCCGCCGCAGCCGCTGCGCCAGCGCCGGGTCCGACAGCGCCGGGTCCGTGCCTGGGAAAACCACGGAAAATTCCAGATATTCCCCTGTCCACTCCTTATCCCGCTTTTCCACCTGTTTTCCTGTTGTTTTTTGATGGTTTTTCCCTCTTTTCCCACTTTTTACGGTGTTTTTCCACCCGTTTTCCACCATTTTATCCCATTTTCTATCCCATTTCCCACCATTTAATCCCGTTTTTCCAAAAATTCCCAATATTTTATCCCATTTTTTTTATCCATTTCCCGCCATTTTATCCCATTTTTCCACCCATTTTCTCCCATTTTTTCACCCATTTTCCCCAATTTTATCCCATTTTCAATCCCATTTTCCCACCATTTTATCCCGTTTTTCCGCCCCTTTCCTGTAATTTTATCCCATTTTTTTAACCATTTCCCGCTATTTCATCCCGTTTTTCAAAAAATTCCCACCATTTTATCCCATTTTTCCACCCATTTTCCCCCATTTTATCCCATTTTTCCACCCATTTTCTCCCATTTTTTCACCCATTTCCCACCATTTAATCCCATTTTCTATCCCATTTTCAATCCCATTTTCCTGCAATTTTATCCCACTTTTCCACCCACCATTTTATCCCATTTTCTATCCCATTTTCAATCCCATTTTCTATCCCATTTTTCCACCTACTTTCCAATATTTTATCCCATTTTTTTATCCATTTTCCCCCATTTTATCCCATTTTCCCACCCATTTCCCGCCATTTTATCCCATTTTCTATCCCATTTTCAATCCCATTTTCCCACCATTTTATCCCATTTTCCACCCATTTCCTGCCATTTTATCCCATTTTCCACCCGTTTCCCACCATTTTACCCCACTTTTTCCACCCGTTTCCCACCATTTTATCCCATTTTTCCACCCGTTTCCCACCATTTTATCCCATTTTTTAACCATTTCCCGCCATTTTATCCCATTTTCCACCCATTTCCCACCATTTTATCCCATTTTTTTATCCATTTCCCACCATTTTATCCCATTTTCCCACCCATTTCCCACCATTTTATCCCATTTTCAATCCCATTTTCAATCCCATTTTCTATCCCATTTTCCCAATATTTTATCCCATTTTTTTAACCATTTTCCACCATTTTATCCCATTTTTCCACCCATTTCCCACCATTTTATCCCATTTTCAATCCCATTTTCCCACCATTTTATCCCATTTTCAATCCCATTTTCCCGCCATTTTATCCCATTTTTCCGCCCCTTTCCCAATATAATATCCCATTTTCTATCCCATTTCCTAATATTTTATCCCAATATTTTATCCATTTCCCAATATTTTATCCCATTTTTTTATCCATTTCCCACCATTTTATCCCATTTTCTATCCCATTTTCAATCCCATTTTCCCACCATTTTATCCCGTTTTTCCGCCCCTTTCCTGTAATTTTATCCCATTTTTTTAACCCTTTCCTGCAATTTAATCCCATTTTTCCAAAAATTCCCAATATTTTATCCCATTTTTCCACCCATTTCCCGCCACTTTATCCCATTTTCCATCCCATTTCCCACCATTTTATCCCATTTTCCATCCCATTTCCTGCCATTTCACCCCATTTTCCCACCCATTTCCCACTCTTTTTACCCCATTTCCAATCCCCTCATTCCCATTCCCATTTCCCCCCCATTATCCCCATTTTCCCCCCATTATTCCCATTCCCCCCCCTTATCCCCATTTCCCCCCATTATCCCCATTTCCCCCCATTATTCCCATTTCCCCCCATTATCCCCATTTCCCCCCATTATCCCCATTTCCCCCCATTATCCCCATTTTCCCCCATAATTCCCATTTTTCCCCCATTATTCCCATTTTCCCCCCATAATTCCCATTTTCCCCCCATTATCCCCATTTTCCCCCATTATTCCCATTATTTCCCCCATTATCCCCATTATTTCCCCATTTTCCTCCATTATTCCCATTTTCCCCCATTATTCCCATTTCCCCCATAATTCCCATTTTCCCCCATTATTCCCATTTTCCCCCATTATTCCCATTTTCCCCCATTATTCCCATTTTCCCCATTATCCCCATTTTCCTCCTATTACCCCATTTCCCCCATTATTCCCATTATTCCCCCATTATTCCCCCATTATTCCCATTTTCCCCCATTATTCCCATTTTCCCCCATAATTCCCATTTCCCCCATTATTCCCATTTTCCCCCATTATCCCCATTTCTCCCCCATTATTCCCATTTTCCCCCATTATTCCCATTTCCCCCATTATTCCCATTTTCCCCCATTATCCCCATTTCCCCCATTATTCTCCATTTTCCCCATTATTCCCATTTTCCCCATTATCCCATTTTCCCCATTATTCCCATTTTCCCCCATTATTCCCCATTATTCCCATTTTCCCCATAATTCCCATTTTCCCCATAATCCCCATTTTCCCCCATTATCCCATTTTCCCCCATAATTCCCATTTTCCCCCATTATTCCCATTTCCCCCATAATCCCCATTTCCCCATAATTCCCATTTCCCCCATTATCCCCATTTCCCCCATTATTCCCATTTCCCCCATTATTCCCATTTCCCCCATTATCCCCATTTTCCCCATTATCCCCATTTCCCCCATAATTCCCATTTCCCCCATTATTCCCATTTTCCCCCATTTATTCCCATTTCCCCCATTATTCCCATTTTCCCCCATTATTCCCCCATTATTCCCATTTTCCCCCATAATTCCCGTTTTCCCCCATTATCCCATTTTCCCCCATTATTCCCATTTTCCCCCTAGTTATTCCCCATTTTCCCCTAATTATTCCCATTTCCCCCAAAATTCCCCATCATTCCCTCACCGGGCCGATACTCATCAGTGAGGTGACTCCCGAAGTTGTAGACGAGGTCCAGGTGCCTCCTCTGCCCTTCCCCATCATTCCCATTCCCATTTTCCCTGCACATTCCCATCTCCCCTTGACATTTCCACCTCATTCCTGGATCCCACCCCATTCCCATTCCCATTTTCCCCCACTAATTCCCACACCACTCCCTCACCGGGCCGATCCTCATCCGTCAGATGGCTCCCGAAGTTGTAGACCAGGTCCAGGTGCCTCCTCTGCCCTTCCCCATCATTCCCATTCCCATTTTCCTTGCACATTCCCATCTCCCCTTGACATTTCCACCTCATTCCTGGATCCCACTCCATTCCCATTCCCATTTTTCTCCCATTATTCCCACCATCCCCAGTCCCTCACCGGGCCGATACTCGTCGGTGAGGTGGCTCCCGAAGTTGTAGACGAGGTCGAGGTGCCTCCTCTACCCTTCCCCATCATTCCCATTCCCATTTCCATCCATTCCCATTCCCATTTTCCCCCCCTAATCCCCACATAATTCCCTCACCAGGCCGATACTCATCGGTGAGGTGGCTCCCGAAGTTGTAGACCAGGTCCAGGTGCCTCCTCTGCCCTTCCCCATCATTCCCATTCCCATTTTCCCTGCACATTCCCATCTCCCCTTGACATTTCCACCTCATTCCTGGATCCCACCCCATTCCCATTCCCATTTTCCCTGCAGATTCCCATTCCCACATCATTCCCTCACCGGACCGATCCTTATCTGTGAGGTGATCCCAAAATTGCACACCAGGTCGAGGTGCCTCCTCTGCCCTTCCCCATCATTCCCACTCCCATTTTCCCCCATTCCCATCATTCCCATTCCCATTTTCCCCCCATTATCCCCATTTTCCCCCCATTATTCCCACATCATTCCCTCACCGGGCCGATCCTCGTCCATGAGGTGGCTCCCAAAATTGCACACCGGGTCCAGGTGCCTCCTCTGCCCTTCCCCATCATTCCCATCCCCATTTTCCCCCCATTATTCCCATTTTCCCCCCCATAATTACCATTTTCCCCCCAATTATCCCCATTTTCCCCCCCTAATCCCCAATCCCACTCCCTCACCGGGCCGATACTCATCCGTCAGGTGGCTCCCGAAGTTGTAGACGAGGTCGAGGTGCCTCCTCTGCCCTTCCCCATCATTCCCATTCCCATTTTCCCCCCCTAATCCCCATTATCATCAATTCCCCTCACCAGGCCGATACTCGTCGGTGAGGTGGCTCCCGAAGTTGTAGACGAGGTCGAGGTGCCTCCTCTGCCCTTCCCCATCATTCCCATTCCCATTTCCATCCATTCCCATCATTCCCATTCCCATTTTCCCCCCATAATACCCAATCCCACTCCCTCACCGGGCCGATACTCGTCGGTGAGGTGGCTCCCGAAGTTGTAGACGAGGTCCAGGTGCCTCCTCTGCCCTTCCCCATCATTCCCATTCCCATTTTTCCCCCATTATTCCCATGTAATTCCCTCACCAGGCCGATCCTCATCCGTGAGGTGACTCCCAAAATTGCACACCAGGTCGAGGTGCCTCCTCTGCCCTTCCCCATCATTCCCATCCCCATTTTCCCCCCACAATCCCCAATCCCAGTCCCTCACCAGGCCGATACTCGTCGGTGAGGTGGCTCCCGAAGTTGTAGACGAGGTCGAGGTGCCTCCTCTGCCCTTCCCCATCATTCCCATTCCCATTTCCCCCCAATTATCCCCACATAACTCCCTCACCAGGCCGATACTCATCGGTGAGGTGGCTCCCGAAGTTGTAGACGAGGTCGAGGTGCCTCCTCTCCTGCAGGCGGTTGCCGACCTCTCGGAAGGCCTCCTGCGCCAGGCTCTCCATGTGCCGGCGGGGCAGCCCCAGGCGGTGCCGCTGGCTGGCCGTGCGGATCTCCCGCAGGATGTCCGAGTAGTCCGGGAAGGCGTCGGGCCGGTTGATGAGGCGCTGGATGCGCCGGTTCACCTCCGGGTAGCGCGTGCCGCGGAAGCGGATCCGCTGCTCCAGCACCCGGCCCGTCAGCTGGCTGCACTCCTTCAGCTGGCACAGGCGGCGGAAGATCCGCATCATCCGACGCTTCAGCCGGTTCTCCTGAGGGGAAAATGGGGATTTGTGAGGGAAAAATGTGGGGAAAATGAGGGGGAAATGAGGGGCTGTCAGGAGGCTGCACTCCTTCAGCTGGCACAGGCGGCGGAAAATCCGCATCATCCGACGCTTCAGACGGTTCTCCTGAGGGGAAAAGGTGGGAAAAATGAGGGAAAATGGGGATTTGTGAGGGAAAAATGAGGGGGAAAATGAGGGGCTGTCAGGAGGCTGCACTCCTTCAGCTGGCACAGCCGGCGGAAAATCCGCATCATCCGACGCTTCAGCCGGTTCTCCTGAGGGGGAAAATGAAAATCTGAGGAAAATGGATTTGAGAGGTAAAATGGGGATTTGTGAGGGAAAAGTGAGGAGGGAAAATGAGGGGCATGAGGGTGCAGGAGGCTGCACTCCTTCAGCTGGCACAGCCGCCGGAAGATCCGCATCATCCGACGCTTCAGGCGGTTCTCCTGAGGGGGAAAATGAAAAATCTGAGGGGAAAACATGGATATTGAGAGGTAAAATGGGGATTTGTGAGGGAAAATGGGGATTTGTGAGGGGAAAATGAGGGGGAAAATGAGGGGCTGTCAGGAGGCTGCACTCCTTCAGCTGGCACAGCCGCCGGAAGATCCGCATCATCCGACGCTTCAGCCGGTTCTCCTGAGGGGAAAAATGAAAAATCTGAGGGGAAAATGTGGGAAAAATGAGGGGGAAAATGAGGGGCTGTCAGGAGGCTGCACTCCTTCAGCTGGCACAGCCGGCGGAAGATCCGCATCATCCGCCGCTTCAGGCGGTTCTCCTGAGGCGAAAAATGTGGGATTTGTCAGGGAAAATGGGGATTGTGAGGGGAAAATGAGGGGAAAATGAGGGGCTGTCAGGAGGCTGCACTCCTTCAGCTGGCACAGGCGGCGGAAGATCCGCATCATCCGACGCTTCAGGCGGTTCTCCTGAGGGGAAAATGAAAAATCTGAGGGAAAACATGGATATTGAGAGGTAAAATGGGGATTTGTGAGGAAAATGGGGATTGTGAGGAGGAAAATGAGGGGGAAAATGAGGGCTGTCAGAGGCTGCACTCCTTCAGCTGGCACAGGCGCCGGAAGATCCGCATCATCCGACGCTTCAGCCGGTTCTCCTGAGGGGAAAAATGAGAAATCTGAGGGAAAATGGGGATGTGTGAGGGAAAAATGAGGGGAAAATGAGGGGCTGTCAGGAGGCTGCACTCCTTCAGCTGGCACAGCCGGCGGAAGATCCGCATCATCCGACGCTTCAGCCGGTTCTCCTGAGGGGAAAATGAAAAATCTGAGGGAAAATGGGGATTTGTGAGGGAAAAATGAGGGGGAAAATGAGGGGCTGTCAGGAGGCTGCACTCCTTCAGCTGGCACAGCCGGCGGAAGATCCGCATCATCCGCCGCTTCAGCCGGTTCTCCTGAGGGGGAAAAGAAATCTGGGGAAAACATGGAAAATGGGATTTGTGAGGTAAAATGGGGATTTGTGAGGGAAAATGGGGATTTATGAGGGAAAAATGAGGGGAAAATGAGGGAAAATGAGGCTGTCAGGAGGCTGCACTCCTTCAGCTGGCACAGCCGGCGGAAGATCCGCATCATCCGACGCTTCAGCCGGTTCTCCTGAGGGGAAAATGTGGGATTTGTGAGGTAAAATGGGGATTTATGAGGGAAAAATGAGGGGGAAAATGAGGGGCTGTCAGGAGGCTGCACTCCTTCAGCTGGCACAGGCGGCGGAAGATCCGCATCATCCGGCGCTTCAGGCGGTTCTCCTGAGGGAAAATGAAAAATCTGAGGGGAAATGGGGATTTATGAGGGGAAAATGTGGAGTTTGAGGGGAAAAGTGAAAGATCTGAGGGGAAAATGGGGATTTGTGAGGGAAAAATGAGGGGGAAATGAGGGGCTGTCAGGAGGCTGCACTCCTTCAGCTGGCACAGCCGCCGGAAGATCCGCATCATCCGACGCTTCAGGCGGTTCTCCTGAGGGGAAAATGTGGGAAATATGAGGGAAAATATGGGATTTGAGAGGAAAATGGGGATTTGTGAGGGAAAATGGGGATTTGTGAGGGAAAATGAGGGAGAATGAGGGGAAAATGAGGAGGCTGCGGAGCTGCCTCTCAGCTGGCACAGCCGGCGGAAGATCCGCATCATCCGACGCTTCAGGCGGTTCTCCTGAGGGGAAAATGAAAATGTGAGGGAAAACATGGATATTGAGAGGTAAAATGGGGATTTGTGAGGGAAAATGGGGATTTGTGAGGGGAAAATGTGGGAAAAATGAGGGGGAAAATGAGGGGCTGTCAGGAGGCTGCACTCCTTCAGCTGGCACAGGCGGCGGAAGATCCGCATCATCCGGCGCTTCAGCCGGTTCTCCTGAGGGGAAAAATGAAAAATCTGAGGGGAAAATGTGGGAAAAATGAGGGGGAAAATGAGGGGCTGTCAGGAGGCTGCACTCCTTCAGCTGGCACAGGCGGCGGAAGATCCGCATCATCTGCCGCTTCAGGCGGTTCTCCTGAGGCGAAAAATGTGGGATTTGTCAGGGAAAATGGGGATTTATGAGGGAAAAATGAGGGGAAAATGAGGGGCTGTCAGGAGGCTGCACTCCTTCAGCTGGCACAGGCGCCGGAAGATCCGCATCATCCGCCGCTTCAGGCGGTTCTCCTGGAGGGGAAAATGGAAATTTGAGGAAAATGGGATCTGAGGGAAAATGGGAAAATGGGGAAATGAGGGCTGTCAGGAGGCTGCACTCCTTCAGCTGGCACAGCCGGCGGAAGATCCGCATCATCCGCCGCTTCAGGCGGTTCTCCTGAGGGGGAAATGTGGGATTTGTGAGGGAAAATGTGGGATTTGTGAGGGAAAAATGAGGGGAAAATGAGGGGCTGTCAGGAGGCTGCACTCCTTCAGCTGGCACAGGCGGCGGAAGATCCGCATCATCCGCCGCTTCAGCCGGTTCTCCTGAGGGGGGAAATGAAAAATCTGAGGTAAAATGGGGATTTGTGAGGGAAAAATGAGGGGGAAAATGAGGGGCTGTCAGGAGGCTGCACTCCTTCAGCTGGCACAGGCGCCGGAAGATCCGCATCATCCGCCGCTTCAGGCGGTTCTCCTGAGGGGGAAAATGAAAATCTGAGGAAAACATGATGAGGAAAATGGGGATTTGTGAGGAAAATGGGGATTTGAGGGAAAATGGGGATTTATGAGGGAAAAATGAGGGGAAAATGAGGGGGAAATGAGGGCTGTCAGGAGGCTGCACTCCTTCAGCTGGCACAGCCGGCGGAAGATCCGCATCATCCGCCGCTTCAGGCGGTTCTCCTGAGGGGAAAAATGTGGGATTTGTGAGGGAAAATGTGGGATTTGTGAGGGAAAATGGGGATTTATGAGGGAAAATGGGGATTTATGAGGGAAAATGAGGGAAAATGAGGGGAAAATGAGGGGCTGTCAGGAGGCTGCACTCCTTCAGCTGGCACAGCCGGCGGAAGATCCGCATCATCCGCCGCTTCAGGCGGTTCTCCTGAGGGGAAAATGGAAATCTGAGGAAAATGATTAGGGAAAATGGGATAGAAATGGGAAAAATGAGGGGGAAAATGAGGGGCTGTCAGGAGGCTGCGCTCCTTCAGCTGGCACAGCCGCCGGAAGATCCGCATCATCCGACGCTTCAGCCGGTTCTCCTGAGGGGAAAAATGAGAGATTTGAGGGAAAATGTGAGGGAAAATGAGGGGGAAAATGAGGGGCTGTCAGGAGGCTGCACTCCTTCAGCTGGCACAGCCGCCGGAAGATCCGCATCATCCGACGCTTCAGGCGGTTCTCCTGAGGGGAAAAATGAAAAATCTGAGGTAAAATGGGGATTTGTGAGGGAAAATGGGGATTTGTGAGGGAAAATGGGGATTTATGAGGGAAAAATGGGGGAAAATGAGGGGGAAAATGAGGGGCTGTCAGGAGGCTGCACTCCTTCAGCTGGCACAGCCGGCGGAAGATGCACATGGGCCCAGAGGTTCTGTGAGGGAGAAATGGGGATATTTGAGGGAAACATGAGGGATTTAGCCTGAGCGGAAAAGGGGATGTCCGCATCATCCGGCGCTTCAGGCGGTTCTCCTGAGAGGAAAAAGTTGGGATTTGAGAAGAAAATGGGGATTTATAAGGGGAAAATGTGGAGTTTGAGGGGAAAAGTGAAAGATCTGAGGGGAAAATGGGGATTTGTGAGGGAAAAATGAGGGGGAAATTGAGGGGCTGTCAGGAGGCTGCACTCCTTCAGCTGGCACAGCCGGCGGAAGATCCGCATCATCCGGCGCTTCAGGCGGTTCTCCTGAGGGGAAAAGGGGATTTGTGAGGGAAAATGGGGATTTGTGAGGGAAAATGGGGATTTGTGAGGGAAAATGGGGATTTATGAGGGAAAAATGAGGGGTTTTGAGGCCTGTCAGCTGGCACAGCCGCTGGAAGATCCGCATCATCCGTCGCTTCAGGCGGTTCTCCTGAGGGGAAAAATGTGGGATTCGTGAGGGAAAATTGGGATTTATGAGGGGAAAATGGGGATTTATGAGGGAAAATGGGGATTTATGAGGGAAAACAGGGATTTGTGAGGGAAAAAATGGGATTTATGAGGGAAGAGTGAAAGATCTGAGGGGAAAATGAAAGATCTGAGGGGAAAAGGGGGATTTATGAGGGAAAAATGAAAGATCTGAGGGGAAAAGGGGATTTGTGAGGGAAAATGAAAGATCTGAGGGGAAAATTGGGATTTGTGAGGGAAAAATGAAAGGTTTGAAGGGAAAAATTTGGAGTGGGAACAGCGTCAAGATGAATTTTGCTGTAAAAAACCATAAAGTTAAATTTACGGTGAAAATACGAGAAATTCTGCTGTGAAAACGGAGTCATTTTTGCTGTAAAGATCCCGTTAGTTTTGCTGTAAGAACGCTGTTAATTGATTAATTAAACTAACATATTAAATTGTAATCAATTTAATGCTCTTTTTGGCTTCGATTTTGGGGTCGATTTTGGGGTCATTTTTGGTGCCATTTTTTTCGGAATGGGAGATCATTTTGGGGCCGATTTTTTTACAACGAGGGAATCATTTTGGGGCCGATTTTAGGGTCATTTTTTTGGGATTGGGGGATCATTTGGGGTCGATTTTGGGGCCGTTTTTTTGGGGATTGGGGGATCATTTTGGGGTCATTTTTGGTGCCCTTTTTTTTGGATGAGGGGATCATTTTGGGGTCATTCTGGGGCTGATTTTTGGGGTCATTTTTTTGGGAATGGGGGATCATTTTGGGGCCATTTTGGGGTCATTTTTGGTGCCATTTTTTTTGGAATGGGGATCATTTTGGAAGCTGATTTTTTAGGACGAGGGAATCATTTTGGGGCCAATTTTGGGGCTGATTTTTTTGGGATTGGAGGATCATTTGGGGTCGATTTTGGGGCCATTTTTTTGGCATTGGAGAATCATTTTGGGGTCATTTTTGGTGCCGCTTTTTTCGGAATGGGGATGATTTGGAAGCTGATTTTTTTAGGAATAAGGAATCATTTTGGGACCGATTTTAGGGTCATTTTTTTGTGATTGGGGGATCATTTTGGGGCCGATTTTGGTGCCGTTTTTTTGGGATTGGGGGATCATTTTGGGGTCATTTTGGGGCTGATTTTTGGGGCCATTCTTTTCGTGCTTGGGAGTTCATTTTGGGGTCATTTTGGGGTCAATTTTGGTGCCGTTTTTTTCGAAACGGGAATCATTTTGGGGCCGATTTTTTTAGGATGAGGAATCATTTTGGGGCCGTTTTTGGGGCCGATTTTGGGGCCATTTTTTTCAGTACGAGGAATCATTTTGGGACCGATTTTTTTAGGAATGGGGGGATCATTTTGGGGCCATTTTGGGGTCATTTTTGGTGCCCTTTTTTTCGGAATGGGGGATCATTTGGAAGCTGATTTTTTAAGGATGAGGGAATCATTTTGGGGCCAATTTTAGGGTCATTTTTTTGGGATTGGAGGATCATTTGGGGTCGATTTTGGGGCCGATTTTTTTGGGATTGGGAATCATTTTGGGGTCGATTTTTTTAGGACGAGGGAATCATTTTGGGGTCATTCTGGGGCTGATTTTTGGGGTCATTTTTTTGGGATTGGGGGATCATTTTGGGGCCATTTTGGGGTCATTTTTGGTGCCATTTTTTTTGGAATGGGGGATCATTTTGGAAGCTGATTTTTTTAGGACGAGGGAATCATTTTGGGGCCAATTTTGGGGCCGATTTTTTTGGGATTGGGGATCATTTTGGGGTCGATTTTGGGGCCATTTTTTTGGCATTGGAGAATCATTTTGGGGTCATTTTTGGTGCCGCTTTTTTCGGAATGGGGAATCATTTGGAAGCCGATTTTTTTTAGGAATGAGGGAATCATTTTGGGGCCATTTTAGGGTCATTTTTTGTGATTGGGGATCATTTTGGGAGTCGATTTTGGGGCCATTTTTTTGGCATTGAGGGATCATTTTGGGGTCATTTTGGGGCCATTTTTGGGGCCATTCTTTTCGTGCTTGGGAGTTCATTTTGGGGTCATTTTGGGGTCAATTTTGGTGCCGTTTTTTTCGGAATGGGAATCATTTTGAGGGCCGATTTTTTTAGGAATAGGGGGGATCATTTTGGGGCCGATTTTTTTAGGAATGGGGGGATCATTTTGGGGCCATTTTGGGGTCATTTTTGGTGCCCTTTTTTTCGGAATGGGAATCATTTGGAAGCCGATTTTTTTTAGGAATGAGGGAATCATTTTGGGGCCGATTTTAGGATCATTTTTTTGTGATTGGGGGATCATTTTGGTGCCGATTTTGGTGCCGTTTTTTTTGGAATGGGAATCATTTTGGTGCCAATTTTTTCAGAATGAGGGAATCATTTCAGGGCCATTTTTTGGGACCATCTCTCTCTCTCTCCCCCACCTGCAGGTAGGGCGAGTCTGCGCTGTCGAGCTCCTGGAAGTCGAGCTCCCGCTCCTGCAGGCGCCGGATCTCGCCGGCGTAGACGCGCAGCAGGTTCTCCAGGTGCCGGATCTGCCGCCGGGAGCCGCCCCCGCACCGGGAGGCATCTCGGGGACGGTGGGAGGAGCTGTCCGGGCGGGAAGGGCCGTTGGGATGCTGGGATGAGGCTCCGGGATACTGGGATGAGGCTCTGGGATGCTGGGATGAGGCGTTGGGATACTGGGATGAGGCTCCGGGATACTGGGATGAGGCTCCAGGATGCTGGGATGAACCGTCAGGGTGCTGGGACGAGACGTCGGGATACTGGGACGATCCAGGGGGATACTGGGATGATCCAGGAGGATGCTGGTTTGATCCAGGGGGATACTGGGATGATCCAGGAGGATACTGGGACGATCCAGGAGGATGCTGGTTTGATCCAGGGGGATACTGGTTTGATCCAAGAGGATGCTGGGATGATCCAGGAGGATGCTGGGATGATCCAGGAGGATACTGGGATGATCCAGGGGGATGCTGGGACGATCCAGTGGGATACTGGGAAGTGCCATCGGGATACTGGGAAGTGCCATCGGGACACTGGGACGACGCTCCGGGACACTGGGACGAACTGGTGGGATGCTGGGACGACGCTCCGGGATACTGGGAAGTGCCGTTGGGACGCTGGGACGATCCAGCGGGATACTGGGAAGTGCCATCGGGATACTGGGACGAACTGGTGGGATGCTGGGACGCTGCTCCGGGATACTGGGACAACCCATCGGGATACTGGGACGACGCTCCGGGACACTGGGACGAACTGGTGGGATGCTGGGATGATCCATCAGGATACTGGGACGATACTCCAGGACACTGGGACGATGCTCCAGGACACTGGGACGACCCATCAGGATACCGGGCCGATACTCCAGGACACTGGGACGACCCATGGGGACACTGGGACGAACTGGTGGGACGCTGGGACGCTGCTCCAGGACACTGGGACGACCCATGGGGACACTGGGACGATGCTCCAGGATACTGGGACGACCCATCAGGACACTGGGATGATACTCCAGCACACTGGCACGATACTCCAGGACACTGGGACGACCCATCAGGACACTGGGATGATACTCCAGCACACTGGCACGATACTCCAGGATACTGGGACGATACTCCAGGACACTGTGACGATACTCCAGGATACTGGGACGATACTCCAGGATACTGGGACGATACTCCGGGATACTGGGACGCTCCAATGGGATACTGGGAGCCACTGGGCGGCGGGGGCGGGAGCAGCTGGAGCCGCCTGGGCAGGGCCCTGGCCTTGAGCTGGGTGCAGAGCTCGTTGATGTAGACGAAGGCCTTGGCGCGGCGGCCGCGCAGGCGGCGCAGGAGCCTCCCCAGGATGTTGCGGAACTCGGCGGAGCCGCGGAACTCGGGGCGGGCGCGGGCGTGGCGCGAGCGCAGGAACGGCAGCACCTCCGGGTGCTCCCGCGTGGCCGCCGAGCAGGCGCTCAGGAACTGCCGGGAAAAACGGGGGGGATTAGGGTGGGAATTAGGGTGGAGATTACACCTGGAGGTACCTGGAGACACCTGGGATAGACCTGGATAGACCTGGAGATATCTGGAGGTACCTGGGATACCTGGAAAGAGCTGGAGGTACCTGGGATACACCTGGGATACACCTGGGATACACCTGGATACACCTGGATAGACCTGGATAGAGCTGGAGGTACCTGGAGGTACCTGGGATACACCTGGATAGACCTGGGATACACCTGGATAGAGCTGGGATACACCTGGATAGACCTGGATAGACCTGGGATACACCTGGATAGACCTGGAGACACCTGGAGGTACCTGGGATACACCTGGGATACACCTGGAGGTACCTGGGATAGAGCTGGGATACACCTGGGATACACCTGGATACACCTGGGATACACCTGGATAGAGCTGGAGATACCTGGATACACCTGGGATACACCTGGATAGAGCTGAAGGTACCTGGAGGTACCTGGGATACACCTGGATACACCTGGGATACACCTGGATAGACCTGGAGATACCTGGGATACACCTGGGATACACCTGGATACACCTGGATAGAGCTGGAGGTACCTGGAGGTACCTGGGATACACCTGGATACACCTGGATAGACCTGGATAGACCTGGGACACACCTGGGATACACCTGGGATACACCTGGGATACACCTGGGATACACCTGGAGACACCTGGGATACACCTGGGATACACCTGGAGACACCTGGGATAGACCTGGAGAGACCTGGGATACACCTGGGATACACCTGGAGGTACCTGGGATACACCTGGAGATACCTGGGATACACCTGGGATACACCTGGATAGAGCTGGAGGTACCTGGAGGTACCTGGGATACACCTGGGATACACCTGGGATACACCTGGAGATACCTGGGATACACCTGGGATAGACCTGGATAGAGCTGGAAGTAGAGACACCTGGGATACACCTGGGATACACCTGGGATACACCTGGGATACACCTGGGATACACCTGGGATACACCTGGAGACACCTGGAGACACCTGGGATACACCTGGAGACACCTGGGATACACCTGGGATACACCTGGGATACACCTGGATAGAGCTGGGACACACCTGGAGACACCTGGGATACACCTGGGATACACCTGGGATACACCTGGATAGACCTGGGATACACCTGGGATACACCTGGGATACACCTGGAGACACCTGGATAGACCTGGGATAGACCTGGGATACACCTGGAGACACCTGGATAGACCTGGGATACACCTGGATAGAGCTGGAGGTACCTGGGATACACCTGGGATACACCTGGGATAGAGCTGGGGACAACTGGAGGTACCTGGGATACACCTGGAGACACCTGGAGACACCTGGGATACACCTGGGATACACCTGGATAGAGCTGGAGGTACCTGGGATACACCTGGGACACACCTGGAGCCACCTGGGATACACCTGGAAAGAGCTTCAGGTACCTGGGATACACCTGGATAGACCTGGGATGCACTTGGAGCCACCTGGGATGCACCTGGAGACACCTGGGATACACCTGGAGATACAGCTGGGATACACCTGGATAGACTTGGAATAAACCTGGATACACCTGGAGACACCTGGGATACACCTGGGATACACCTGGATAGACCTGGAGATACCTGGAGGTACCTGGGATACACCTGGGATAGACCTGGGATACTTGGAACACACCTGGGATACACCTGGATACACCTGGGATACACCTGGAGACACCTGGATACACCTGGGATACACCTGGATAGACCTGGAGGTACCTGGATAGAGCTTGGGGATACACCTGGGATACACCTGGGATACACCTGGAAAGAGCTTCAGGTACCTGGGATACACCTGGATAGACCTGGATACACCTGGGATACACCTGGAGACACCTGGGATACACCTGGGATACACCTGGAGACACCTGGGATACACCTGGGATACACCTGGGATACACCTGGAATACACCTGGGATACACCTGGAGACACCTGGGATACACCTGGATAAATTCTGGGTACTCACTCTGAGACACCCCAAATTTGGGATCCACCTGGAACACCCGCAAATCTGGGATCACCAACCTCGAAATCTGGGTCCCCTCCCCGGAAATACTTGGGGTCACCTCCGGACCCACCTGAAAATACCTGGGCTACCCAGCCCTGGAAACATCTTGGGGATCTCTCTCCCGATCTCCAGAGATTCTTGGGTCACCTCGAGATCCCCTGAAGAATTTTGGGGTCACCCCTCCCTAAAATTTTGGGGTCCCCTCTCCCCAATACCCCCAAAATTTTGGGGTTCCCTCCCCAAATTTTGGGGTCCCCTCCCAACCCCCAAATTTTGGGTTCACTCCCAATACCCCCAAAATTTTGGGCTTCCCAACTCCCCAAAATTTTGGGGTCCTCCTCCCCATACCCCCAAATTTTGGGGTCCCCTAACCCCAAAATTTTGGGGTCCCTCCCTCAATTCCCCCAAATTTGGGTTCCCCTCCCCCAAAATTTGGGGTCCCCTCCCTCAATCCCTCCAAAATTTTGGGGCTCCTCCCCCACTCCCCCAAATTTGGGGTCCCAACTCCACCCAAATTTTGGGATCTCCCTCCCCCAAATTTGGGGTCCCCAACCCCCAAAATTTGGGGTCCCCTCCCCCAATTCCCCCAAATTTGAGGTCCCCTCCCCAACTTTGGGCCCCTCCCCCCAAAATTTGGGGCCGCCCCTCCCCCTCACCTCCTGGAAGAGCCGCTCGTTCTCCTCCCAGTAGGCCCCGCCCTCCCCCACCCCCAAATTTGGGGGCAGGGAGTCGCCCTCCCCTCACCCCCCACCCCGGGAGGAGGGAGGGGTTTTGGAGGAGGGCCTCGAATTTGGGGGTGGGGAGGGCTTTGAGGCTCCTCCTCGTCCTCGTCGTCCAGGATGATGATGGGGTGGGGGGTGGGGAGGGGCCGCCATTGGGGGAGGGGTTTGAGGTTTTTGGGGTGTTTGGGGTTTTTTTTAGGGGCACCCCAAAAATTAAGAGAGTCAACCTGGAAAAAAAGAAAAATAAATAAATAAAATTAAGAAATAATTAAAAAAAAGGGTCAAAAGTCGGAGAAAAACACGAAATTTTCGGAAATGGCCCAATTTCCCCTCCCCAACCCCAAATTCCCCTAAATCCCCCAAATTCCACCCAAAATCCCCAAATCCCCCAAAAATCCCCAAAATTCCCCCAAAATCCCCCAAATTCCCCTCCCCAACCCCAAAATCCCCTAAAATCCCCAAATCCCCTAAAATCCCCAAATCCCCTAAAATCCCCAAATCCCCAAATTCCCTCCCCAACCCCAAATCCCCTAAAATCCCCAAAATTCACCCCAAATCCCCAAATCCCCCAAAATCCCCCAAATCCCCTAAATCCCCCAGATCCTTCCCAAATTCCCTCCCCTTTAAACCCCTCAGGCCCTCCCCACCCCAAACCCCTTTTCCCCCATTTCGCCCTCCACCCCCGAAACGCCTCAAAACCCCCAAATCCCCCAAAACCCCCAAATTTTGGCCCCTCCCCACTTCAAACCCCTCAGGCCCTCCCCACCCCAAACACCCCAAACCCCCAAAAACCCCCAAATTTTGGCCCCTCCCCTTTAAGCCCCCTCAGGCCCTCCCCCACCCCGAAACGCCTCAACCCCCAAAAACCCCCAAAAACCCCTAAAACCCCCAAATTTTGGCCCTCCCCTTTAAACCCCCTCAAGCCCCTCCCACCCCAAACACCTCCAAAACCCCCCAAAATCAACCCCCATTTCCGCCCTCCCCATCCCGAAACCCCCAAACCCCAAAACCCCCAAACCCCCAAAGCCCCCAAATTTTGGCCCTCCCCTTTAAACCCCCTCAGGCCCCTCCCCACCCCCAAACACCCCCAAACCCCCAAAATCCCCCAAAACCCCCAAATTTTGGCCCTCCCCACCCCAACCCCCTCAAAACCCCTCAAAACCCCCTCAAACCCCCAAATTTTGGCCCTCCCCCTTTAAACCCCCTCAGCCCCTCCCCACCCCCTCAAAACCCCCAAAGCCCCCAAATTTTTGGCCCTTCCCCCTTTAAACCCCCTCATGCCCTCCCCACCCCACCCCCTCAAAACCCCCAAAACCCCCAAATTTTGGCCCCTCCCCTTTAAACCCCTCAGGCCCCTCCCCCACCCCAAACACCTCCAAACCCCCAAAAACCCCCCAAAACCCCCAACCCCCAAAACCCCCAAATTTTGGACCCTCCCTCCTTTAAACCCCCTCAAGCCCCTCCCCACCCCCAGCCCCCCAAACCCCCAAATTTTGCCCCCCCTTTAAGCCCCCATTTCGCCCCTCCCCACCCCAGAAACGCCTCAAAATCCCCCAAAACCCCCAAACCCCCAAATTTTGGCCCCTCCCCCTTAAGCCCCCTCAGGCCCCTCCCCACCCCCAAACCCCCTCAAAACCCCCAAACCCCCCGCCCCTCCCCCAATTTCACCTGCAGGCCCCGCCCCCCTCCCGCTGACCCCGCCCCCTTCTCCCGGTCGGGCCCCGCCCCTTTCCCAGTTGGCCCCGCCCCCTTTTTGGGGTGTTTTTTTTCCCGCGCTCTCACCGGGAGCGACCCCGTGCGCGCCGGGCCCGACGCCCCCGAACTGCGCAGGGCCGGAAGTGGCGTCATCGACAAAAAGGTGGGGTTAAAATAGATTTTTTTATTTAAAAAAAATAAAAGGGGCGGGACAAAGTGATGAAAAATGGGCGTGGTCACATCGAAACGACCAATCAGAGCGCGAGTGTGAGGGCGGAAGTGAAAGAGGGGCGTGGTTATATCAAAAGCGACCAATCAGAGCGCGGGACGAAAGCGGAAGTAAAATAAGGGGGCGTGGTTAAATCGAGAGCGACCAATCGGAAGGCGCCGTTTCATCCGGGCACCCCCCGGGCCCTCCGTGGGCGCCGCCATCTTGGAGTCCCCTCCTCCTTCCCCCCCTCAGGGACCGCCCTGCCCCCTTTTTAACCCTTTTTACCCTTTTTTCACCTTTTTTCTTCTCAACTCCCCCCGTTTTTTCCTCCTCTCTTCGCGCCGCCTCCTTTTAATCCCGGGATTAAAAAAAAAAGGGGGAAAAAAGGAAAAAAGGGATCGGAAACTTCACCGGGAAAAGGGGAGGGGACAAAATAGCAGGCGCTACGAGAGGGCCGCCGAGGACAAAGAAGGCAAGATTCAAACCCCTCCAAAATTCCCCCCCCTCCAAATTTTTTCTTCTCCCCCCCCCAAAAAAAAATTTCTCCTCCCCAAAATCCCCCCAATTTCTCCTCCAAATCCCTCCTAGAAAATTTTTACCCCCGATTTCCCCTAATTACCCCCAGGACCCCCAAATCCCCCAAACTCCTCAAAATCCCCCAAACTCCCCCAAATCCCCAAATCCCCCAAACTCCCCAGGACCCCAAATCCCCTCAAATTCCCCAAAACTCCACAGGACCCCCAAATCCTCAAATCCCCCAAAATCCTCAGGACCCCCAAGACTCCTCCAAATCCCCTCAAATCCCCCAAAATCCCTCAAATCCCCCTCAAATCCCCCAAGAATCCCCAAAAACTCCCCAGGACCCCAAATCCCCCAAACACCCCCAAGACTCCCCAAAACTCCCCAAATCCCCAACTCCTCAAATCCCCCAAAATCCTCAAATCCCCAAAATCCCCCAAAATCCCTCAAATCCCCCAAACTCCCCTGAGGTTCTCTCATTCCCCTCAGGGTCACAAATCTCAGCATTATTTTATTTCATTTATTTATTTACTTATTTATTTTTATTTATTTATTTAAGGAAACATTTTGGGTTTGTTTTTTCCCCACAAAACCCAAAAACAAAACAAAAACACATTTTGGGGTTGTTTTTGGGAGTTTTCGGTTTTTGGGGGTTTTTGGGTTTTTGGTTTTTGGGGGTTTTTTGGGGTTTTTAGGGTTTTTGGGAGGTTTTTGGGAGATTTTAGTTTTTAGGGGGGAGGGGAGACAGAATCTCCCACCCAGCGCAGGTAGGGGGGGTTCCCCTGAGCCACCGGCACCGCCACCACCTCAGGGACCTCGTAGGGGTGCTGGGACCTAAAATATAAAAAAGGGGGTTGGAGGGTCAGGGAGTCCCAAGATTGGGAGATCACAAAAAACCCCAAAAAAACCCCGAAATCGTAAAATTTACAGGAACCCCAAAATCCCCTCAAAATCCCTCAAAAATCCCCCAAATCCCCCAAATCCTC